CATACGTACCATTGAGCCAATAGTGAACTGATGATGAGGATCAGGAGGAGGACCAGTAGGGGGACCTTGATGAGGATCTCTCGGATAAGAAGGATCAGGTGGATACTGAGAATGATCATGATCATCATGATGACTCCAATCTTGAATATTAAGATCATAATGACAAGAAAAGTCATAATCATGATTACGTGCAGTACCATCATTAAGAAGAGATGGAAGACTTTCTGTTTCTCTTCCTCCTCCTTCATTGTAAAGGTGTTGAGCTTTTGGAGACTGCTGTGATTGATGTGGTTGTTTGACCCTCATACCTTCAGCCATTGCAGGTAGGTTAGGTTGTTGCTGCTGATTATTGTCTCTTCTTCCTCTTCCATTATCCTGTTCATAAGATGAAACATGAGGTGATAAATGTACATAACTGTCTTCTGCCATACTCTCTTCAATCCCTCCTTCAATCACCTGATAATCTTCATGTTGTTGCTGTTCATGATTCTCTTGTTGCTCCTGTTTCTGTTTCGATTTTATTTCTGCAAAGGCTCTTTCTTCTTCTTCAATTCTTTCTTTACTAACTGCTTTAAACCCAGAAAAATTCATTACTTGTATCGTATTCGTTAATTCATCTCTACCTCGATCTCCTCTTATTGCCATCCTTTCCTCATTGCTTCCTTCTCCAATTTTTGGATCTTCAGGTACTTTCCTGTCATCCATTCCTCGCTTGACAGCATCAACATAGCCTTGCTGTTGTCGTCGATATTCTGCTACTGACATAAAAAACTCTGTAGCTAATCTTTTCTCTTCTTCAGTAGCATCATCTTGTTCAGTTTCTTTCTTAAATTTAGCAGCATCCTTCTGTTGCTGTAGTGTATACTCATTGATAGTAAGAACCAGTTGTTCAGGAAGGAACACCCGGCTGTGATTAGGTGCCACTTTAAAAAGCTTAGTACCATGACTACCAGTGATATTAATATCGACACCATCAAAATCTTTTATAGGATCAATTTTTATATCCTATAAAAAATTTATTAGTACAGTGGAACTTTCAAATAACAAAACTTTTGGGACGACAAATTTTGGAAGCTTTCATTAAAAAGAAGTTTTTTAATTAATAGGGAATGAAGTTGGTGCAGGTGCATTAAAATTTTTTCATTGCATATAGATTTTTGTTACAGAAAAGTTTCATTAGCAGAGGTTCCACTGTATGTGTAACTACATCACTTACTGTTTCTATTCCTACTACTGGAAGAGGATCAATTTTCATATCTTTGGAAATTCTAACTGGCCCCACCCACCTCACTGTACCAGCAACTACTTCTTCTTTAACTGTCTGTATTATCACACGATCACCTTCTTTGAATTGTGATTTATGACCAGATATATCTCCTGCTTCAAATCTTCCTCTATCTTCTGCTGCATAGTCATCAAAGGTCGAAACTGCATCTTTTACAAGACCTTTCAATTTATCATAGACACCAGGTTTAGGTTGACCACTGGCAGCACCAGATTTCATTTGGCTCCTCATATTTGATCTAGGTTGCTTCACGACAGTAGGTTCAGGTAATCCCTGGCTAGATGTAGCAAGTGATAGATCACGTTTCTTAATTATCTTATCCATAGCAACAAAGACAGCATTTTTGAGTCCACAGGAGAAATAAGGTCTACCATTACTGGTACCTTTACCACGATATGCTTGATCCTAAAATTTAGCACATTAATTAAAGTAAGTACAAAACATGTTATACTCACATGTGCATCTATTTCAATGCCAAAGACTATTCCATCACTATCAGGATGAGGACCAATAGAACGTATTATACCATAGACTTGTGCATTCGGTGTTCTGGGTGCGATTTCTAATTTGAAGACCACCTTATCACCAACTACCAGATCCCTCTTCATCTTCTTATCCACCTCATTTAAGTACTCCTTTAATCTTGAACTAGGTCGTTGTACTGCTAGTAGATATTCTATTTCTCTTTCTTCTACTGGAGCAACTTCAATGGGTTCAGCATACAATACAACTTGAGGATCACGATAAAGGCGGTAATTAGGAGTGACACCCTTGATTTGACTT